ATACACAGAGAAAACAGTATAATAAGATTCTGCATCTGCCTAGTGTAGGATGAGGTTAATCCATGCTAGACAAACCAAGGCCACCAAGTCAAGCATCAGCCACAGGACTTATTGAGCTGAGCAGGATGAGGTGGAAAACACAACAACCATTACTTTGATTTAACTGCTACAATGTTGCCTGTTCTGGATGTAGATGACTTAATGTAATGCAAATTTTTTGACCTGGAATTGAAGAAGTTACACAGTTGAGCCCCTTTCCTTGCCAAATCAACAATGTTTACATATTAACTTTTGCCTATCAGGTTTGCCTGATACAAGATTAAATCTTTCAAGTATGGGAACCTTCAGCACTCTGGTGTGACTCTTCCTCTAATTGAAACTACTTTTTCATGAGCTGCTTTTTCTCTTCTTAAAATGTTACCTCAGCCTAGTATGATTTCCTCATATCACTGTAACACATAACTTTTTGCCCTTGTGGCACTTACAGCCCACACTTGTTTTTGGACTTTTACCAGTGTATGTCTTTCTAAGCCCAGTTCTTTCAGTATGCTTCAAATGGGAGATGTCTCCAGCCTGGGTGATATTGCAACCTTAAAAACTTCCCACTGACTCAGGAGATGGCAGATCACTGACTGGAAATCAGTGACTCACTATGCCTTGGATGCTTACCCTTAAAGCAGAGGAGTACATGGCTTGACCCTCTTTGGGAATGGAGGGAGAAAAAAGTTTTTTAAAAAGACCTGTTCTGAGCCCAGTCCAGTGGCTGATGATCAAAGAGTGAAAGAGCAGAGTCTACTTATTTTCTCTGTGTGCTTAGAACAGTGTTTGGATCAGGAAGATCCTGTTTGTGCTCCTGACCAGGCTCCAGATAGAACCTGGCAGATCTGACCAAGTCCCTGATCAGTCAAGTAAACACCCTGATACCTTAACCTGCCCTGGCAGCATCTGGCTCCTGAATAATCAAGCCTCTGGACCACTTGTATTTAAAACAAATGGCACAAATGCTCTGGTTTCTTGGCCCAGACAGGTAAAATGAAAATGGTTATTTAGGCTCTTCCTGACAGAGCTGTTTTTTTTTTCTCTCCTCTTTACCATTATTCTAATTTTCTTCTTTCCTCCCAGATCCAGGCCTCCTGCCTCTGGAACTACATAGGCCAGTGTCCAAAATATTAAGGCAAATGAAGTAAGAGCGACAACTGATATAAAATGCTTGGCCTGCATAGAACTAGACATGCAGATCTTCATGTCTAGACAGATAGGTTGTCACATCAGAAAACAGACAGGACTTACACTGCCAGTACAGAGGTGCATCATCTGTTGCACCTCTGTTGCACTTAATTGTTTGGTACTCACTGGGATGGCAGGAGAAAGGCAAGGAAGACAAAATAACCATTTGAGAGAGGATACATGCTGTACTTTGCAATGGAAAGCTGAAGGTACAACAAGTCAGGAAAGACACTGAATCCTGCAGAAACCTGCTTGCTTTCCCATGGCTTTAAGTAAAATTGGCAGGATGAGCACCAGGACAGATGTCCTAGGATGTCTGAGAACACACAAGAGTGAAAGGGACTACCATACCAGTGTGGTTTTTGGTAATAAAATTTTCTTGTGTTGCAAGATGTGGTCCAGGTGAAGGAGGGTTGCAAGTGCAATTTTCCCCAGCACAGAATCCCTGTACATAGCAGCATGCACCCAGAAACTTAAAAAGCAACACAGGTGTGGCCAGCACTGTGAAAAAAACAGCTTGTTGGCTTGTAGAAGCTATGCACATGAAATTAGTTTAGGTTTAGCAACAGATGCCAGCAGTTCAGCTGTACAGTGGGTTGTGTTACTTATATCTTGGGAGAGATCCAAGAAATAGAGGGAGAGCAATTGGGGGATGATGGCTGAGTACTCATTCTTCTATTGTGCACTAGTGCTAGCTGCTGCAGTTACCCAAGGCTAGTGCAGATGTACAACCAAAATGGATTCATGACCTTATGCAGTACCCACACTACAAGCTGCCAAGGAAGGAGGATGTTTTTCTGCAAATCCTGTACATACTGATATACTGGAGATGCACAGAGAGTTACCTAGAAGCATTTACAGGAAGGGCAGGAGGTCTGGAAAATCTCCATCAACTTTTTAAGTGGAGGGAAATTAAACAAAAAAACAAGACTTAAAGTGTTTTCTCTGAAGATATTTCAGCCTCCCATGGGAATATTCCTGAGGGAATATGCCTTTTGTCTCTGATTTACAGTGTCACATGAGAAATGAGCTGCTAAGACTCATGTGGCGCTCAGGGCAGAACACGAGCATGGCAAAGATGCCCTGCAGAAAATGAGCTGGGGGTGCTGGTCCACCATCCATCTGAACCCACCTGGTCAACAGCCATCTGAATATGAGCCAATAGTGTGCCCAGATAGCCTGGATTGTTAATGGCATCCTGGCCAGCAGGCCCAGGCCCAGGGCCCAGGGCAGTGGCTCTCCCCCTCTCCTTGGCACCGATGAAGCCACACTTCAAGGTCTGTGTTGAGTTTTGAGGCCTTCACTCCAAGAAAGACATCGAGTTGCTGGAGCATGTCCAGAGAAGGGCAACCGAGCCAGAGAAGACTCTAGAAGAGGCTCAGGGGAGCTCTCACTGCTCTATACAACCACCTGAAGGGATGTTAGAGTGGAGATCAGTCTCTTCCCCCAGGTAACAAGTGACAAGACAAGAAGAAATGTCCTCATATTATGCCAGAGGATGTTTAGATAGGATATTAGGGAAAAATTTCTTCACTGAAAGGGCTGTCAAGCATTGGAGCTGGTTGACCAAGGAGCGGTACATGCTCTGCTCCTGGAAGTGTTCAGAAGACATGTAGATATGGTGCTTAGGGACACCTTTCTGAAGGGGCTACAGCAGAAATGCCATAAAATTCTGCAAGCTCAGAGTGTAGGTAGTGCTGCATTGAAAAGCAAAACACATGGGAGACCGGTTTTAAAGGAAATGTTGTTTGCTAGGGCTGGAGATGATATGTTGTCTTCTGTCTGGACCTCAGGTCTCTGCAGCTTTTTCCTCAACTATCGATTTTATCTGCCTGTGAGACCTGGGGAGGTGCTCTCTGTGCTCCCATCTGTTCTTTGCAGGGAGCTGACGAGGGTTATGCACAGCAAGTCTTGTAGAGTTGTGCTCTCAGCCAGCCATGGGCTGCTGCAGTGAAGGGCAGGGGCAAAGGGCATAGTACAAGAGTTGTGCCTGGCAGAACTCAAGAGCACACCTAGAGCGAAAGACAACCTTTTCCTGGTACAGGCTCCTTCCCTTTCTGCCTCCCCTTCTTTTTCTCTCCCTTCCCCTCCTTCTTTTCTTCCCTAAATTCCTGCAGAGGTTATTTCCACTCAAACTTCTGCTGTGTCTTTTTTTCTGTTTAGACACAGCACTGTCTGCATCCAAAGTCAGTGTCAGCATTTTCTCTATTGCTGGGAATCAGGACTACCAGAGAATTCCCATTTTGGGCTATTTGGAATCCCTCCCTGCCCCCACCATGTTTATCATTTAGCAGTATAGAAGCACACACAAGTGAGTCTTTCATATGGCAATGAAAAGATGTTGCAGTTATTAACTAGAAAAGCAAGGTTGTCAAAAACAGCAATCATGGGCCATAGCTATCTATTTGTATACTTGCTGTAGTCTCCAGCAAATAATTTTGTCTCCATTCCACCATCTTGATCCAATACATTTTGCCAATATGACAGAGCCCAGCTGTACTTCAGTCCATGCTTATCCCTAGTAGATGCCTTAGCTGGTATTATTAATTATATTCACTGTGAGATTTCCATGATTTTGGTTTGCCTTGACTCATATTTACTGCTAAAAACTGCACGGACTTTGTAATAGGCTTCTGGTGCAAACAAGGGATTATCAATTTACTTCCTGTTGTGGTGGCTTAAAATGGCTGTTTCAAGGAAAATGATGCTTAGAAGCTCGATGGTGCAAAAAGCATTGCCCAGCATGCAGCATTCTGACCTAAGGTACACCATGTGATTGACTGAATTTAGTCTGAGAACAGTACTTAAAATGAAAATGAAACCCAGAAAATTAATGAAAACCCAATCAAAGTTTTATAATGGTGGGATTTTTCTACTCTCCTGTGCCTATTAAAGCACAACTACTGTTAAAAGCTGCAACTGACAGGAATCCCATCTGCCTCCCTTCGACATTTTTGAACATAATTCTCCTTGCCTTTTGTGCTGTGCTTTAGTCACGACTGCCTGAACCTGTAAATGCCCTCAGCAGTCCTTGACAAAGGAACTAGATGGTATGTGCAGCTGACAGTCAGTATGCGTCAGGCACTGAACTTTATTAGGTCCCTTTAAAAATTCCCCATATTACATGACTCTCAAAAATACACAGATCCATCCCCCTGCACTGCTTGCCAATAGGGACAGAAAAAGAGCAGCAGGAAGGGGAACACCCAGTAGGAACCGTAACTTGTTTTGTTTGTTTCTTGATACAAACAATTTATTGGATCTGAGCTTTGCAAATCTGTCCTCTGCTGTCATTCACTTACAGGAACTCACAGTTCATTTTTCCAGGGTGAAAGCTGATGCGAGGCAAGGAATATGCCCCATGGGAATGGATGGACTTTACACTGGGAGCAATGAGAGATGCATCAAGCTGCTGCCACCCTGAGCATGATGACTGCAGCGTCTTGATCCTGCTTTCTCCATCTGATCTACCTTAGGGCTTTTAGTTTTGCTTGTTTATTAATCAGTGCTGGGGAGCAAACATCCCCATATCCCAGAAAGCCACTGGAACAAACACAGCTTCACTGGGGAGAGGTTTTGCCCTGATGGGGTAGCTCCAAGGTTATCCAAAGTGCTCCTGCTGAGGCAAATCAAGCCAATCAGGAAGCCCCCAGAAACCTGGGCTGTGTTTGGTTTGTTGTTTCCACCCTTAGACATTTCCTGCTATTGTTCTTGTCATTTTCTTTGAGTGCTCACTGGGCTGGTGGGTGGTGCTGCTACTACCGGCAGGGGAGGCCTCCAGTCCTCTTGGGCACATGGAGAGCTGTGTGCCATTCCTTTCACAGACTCTCAGCACTAATTTCTGGCATACAAGTTCAGGGAAGGTGGACCTGTGGCACTAACTCCATCTCAATGAGCAAAGCACAGTTCCTTTTCCCACTGGCTCTTCTCAGCTGGGCAAGAATGAAGTCATACCATAAAATGATGAATGAATTCCAGCTCAAGACATTGCTTACCACCCCTGGAGGAGGAGAAGGTGGGTGAATAGGTGAAAGCAGCAAGTCCACAGCATCCTGGGATCCATATAGAGAGCTGTGGAAATACTGACTATACACTAAACCTGAATGGCTCTAGCTTCAGCTCTGTCACGCAGAGCCTGGCTTTCACTTTCCAAGGGTACAGGATTTCATCTGCAATGATCTAATGCCACCACACCACTAGAGGACCAGAAGGGCTATAATTCTCCAGGCCTTCCACACACAATGCCTGTATATAATTTTTTAACTCTCTGAAGTTCATGATTATTTTTTTTGTTTCAGATGCCTCTCACAAGTATCTACCTGCAGCATGAAGCACAAAAGACCTGGATGCTGCACTCCTTTGGGCGCTGTTTCAGTCTTAACTGAAAATCACAGCTTACCAGTTCCTAGACCATCCCAATTGCTCAGGTAATCACAAGCACATCTTTGGATTTCATGTACAGTCCAAGACAGCTTTCTGTGCTGTGGACAGATTGTAAAACTGAGTTTGTTCTTGGACAGCATCTACAAATCTGCAGAGACATCCCTGGAAGTGTGATGTTATTGCTGAACTGCAGTGGTGAATACAGCCAGCTACAAAGCTGTGTGAATGAAGAAATGAGTGGGAATAATTGCTTTGGTATTACTTGAGGCTACCTTTTCCAGCCCTTTGCTCCACATTACCTAACAGCCAGAGCTGACTCATTGCCATCTGAACCATCACAGTGCTGGAGCTCAAATAAAATAAAAAGGGAGATAATGTTTAATAATATGACAATGCTTTTCTAGTCCCCCTTGCTGGCTCATGAAAACTTGGAATGAAGCACAGTTTTAACAGTGGAATGCTGAAAAGTTTGCCTTGACTTTGTGCTGCATGTTTGTGGTAGGAGTCAGCTGATGAGTTCCTGACTGCGTGGGTCTCAGAGGGGTGAAATTCTTGACCCTGGACTTCCCAAGAGCTTCAGAGTCAGGATAACACAGACATATTGGCTGATTTGGTTTAGTGGCACAAAAAGCAGTCAGTAGAGTATCTGTAGAATGGGATGGGTTTTAAAAGGGTTATAAATCTTTCTTTCTAAGAGAACTAAAACTGTGCTAGGGTCCGTGTTTTGATGGCTGACCTCAAGCTGATCATAGCAGGGAGATGGCACAGGATTTCCTTTCTAAGGGTAAATACCAAAGAGGAGAACCTCAAAGCACTAGCAGTGTGGTAACCCCCTACCTCCTATTAAATTACATTGCAGTTGGTTCATTATCCTTTCTGCAGTGAGCTGAAGAAAGCCAAGTACAGCCTGATGGGCTCCTGGCTGTGATCCCAGGGCTAGCTGGTCATGAGAAGCTAGTACAATTCTTGGTTTCAGTGAATCCCAGGGCTATGATGAACCTCCCACACACAGGTCTCCTTGACTGTGAAAACCATCTCTATGCCTGGTATAATGGTATTGAGGGATGGGCTAGCAAGGGTCCATGTCACATCTCTGGAAATTTCTGCTATGTAACTTGAGAAAAGAGGCTAAAATTTGTCAGGGATTTCCTAAAGTCTAAGTAATCTAATTTTGTCTGGTTTTGAGTCTTGCAGTCTTCCTAATGCTCAGGGATCCTGAACAGGAGAAAACCTTTACTGAGTTTTGTCAAAACCATGAACATTCTTGGTCTTACGAGTACAATTGACCCCCTTGTCTCTTTGCTGTGCCTACTATGCTTTTTATGTTGGTATTTGAGCAAGGCACTCAAATAAAGGAAGTTCTTGTAAGAATGGGTAATAATAAATATGAGACCATTGTAAAAATCTGCTTTACAGCACTGACAGATCATTTTAATTTGCTTTGTCTAAAACATGAGATGAAGGGCAAAGACTTCACAGATGTCCATAGTATTGGGAAGGCTGGGGCCCATTTCCCAGATTATTTCATATAGGCAAGTGTGCACACATTCAGGACATGGGAAGTTAAGAAATTACTGGCCAGTTGCAGGTTGTAGAAGATATCTGTAGGTGCCATCTGAGATGTACAAAAACAGCTTAAAAGTGGTAAAGGTGCTCTTGAAAATGGAATGCAGGTACTTTTGAAAGCTTGTCTCCTGTGATATCCATGCCAATTAGTTATGAACACTTTTCCAGCTTTATTGTTTGAAGGTTCTTCATCTGTGAACATTTATAGTTGAAGCAATCAGGCAGCAGATGAAAGGGCAGTACTCAAAGCTTTGAATTTAAACAAGAGAGATAAACAGGTATCAAACTGTAGGTAGGTATGTAGTTCCAGTGCTTTGAGCAGATGAACACCTGGATGTAAGCCAGTGTTGAAGTGTATCTCTAACTCAAAACTCAAAGAGTAATCACATTAATGTGACAGCTCAAAATTAAGAAAATTGCCCCAGTGCTTTGGAATGGACAGACTGAAAATAAAATCAAATTAAAGAGGCCTTATTTGAACTATGGCATAAAAACTGAGAAAAACAACAATATTCTGGGTGCTGGAATGCCATCGACTGTGTTATGTCTACCACCAGACAAGGGCAGTCGGAAGTGCAGGCTGTCAAGATGACTGGACAAAGGGCTGGCTGGTTAGTCACTAGGTGCCAGATGGACACCACCAACTGTCTAAATGATTTCTCCCTCATTTGTAATTGGCCTCAGTTGTGGCTGAGCTCTCTGGCTGTGCCTGCAGTTCTCAGGTCTTCCGTTGGCAGCCGCCTTGGCATACACCCTGCAGGCAGTGTGCAAGTTCCTGTCAGTATGACAGTCCCTGAAGGAACTGTGGGTTTTCGGTCATGCCCTCCTCTAACAAATTTTGCCTCATTTGTGGTGTGGAACATCCATGTCACCATTTCATTCCACCCTCCTTTACTATTTTTTTTTCCTGCCTGCTTCTCATTTTCATGTCAGCTATTGCAATCAGTTACAAAGAGACGTTTTCTGATATTGGTACAGGACTGCTGACATTTTCCACCTCATGCTATTTTAAGACTGGCAATTAGGACTATGTAAAGATGTCACTTTGTGCCCAAAGCAGCTGTGCCTTTAAGCATCTCTGGCTTCTCCCTTGTGATCCAAATCCACACTGAGTGGTCTTGTGGCCTTCTGGCTACAGAGCTGTTCTGGTCTCTGCTCATCACCCCACTGTCTGCCTCCTGCTATGTGTCTGGGACTTATAGCATCATGATAAAGAAATCTGTTTAATAGAAAGTCCTCCTGCATTTATGTGCTTCTGTCTTCTTCACTGACATGTCTTCGGGAAGTACCAAAGTCTTGAGGCCAAGAAGTCCTTCAAGACAATTGCTGGGAAACAAGCAAGTGACTTTTCATGCTGAGTTCAAAAAGTTCTGCATGTATTGTTTTGTAAAAGACTCAAATCCTAGTCTACAAGGTGAAACTGGAGCTGCCGGATTCAGGCTACTTTTGGATGGCTTGACATTTGAACTTAAAAGTGACAGGAGAATGTACTTGCCCTCATGTAGGTGGTTGCTCCAAAGAGCTCAGAGGTGTTGCAGAGCATGGCTACTGCCCAGCCATGAAGCACAAGCACAGCTCTCACTATCATTCTGTCTATGACTGTCTCAGGTGGGTGTCATTGAGACAGAAAGTAGAAACTGTTTTCACAGGTACCAGACTGACTGCCTTGCCACTCTTTTCTTGGTACTACAGTCTGCTGGGAAAGAAAGCAGAGGGGTCCTACTGTTTTTGGACAGGTCAATACAATTGCAAACATCAAAATGTCTGACATTAAGTAGAAAAAAGATGCAGGACAAAGGATGATTATGGTTTTTGCTAACAGCACACCAGCAAAAGGTGGGAAGAGGTATGTTCAGTTTATCATGTCTGTGCACATGATGTAGGTAGTCATGGATAGCTAATTTTCACCCAAAAATAAGTCTAGCAGTTGGATCTTGTTCAGCCAACCTCTCAGCCAAGAACCAGCAAATGAATATGGTCACTAAATTTCCCAGTGAAAGTGGCTGAAGCTGTGCTTTACCCCACATTTGCAGAGGGCTGCTGGTGGGCCATAGTCCATTGTCATGGCTCATCTAGGTGATGCAATCTTCTGATCTGACTGTGGGTTTGAGCCCTTCTTTTTTTTCTGTTTCCAACTCCCACCTTTGAAATCAGTACTGTAGTAAATATCTGCTTGATAGTAGAGCTCTCAAAAACCGTGGTCAGGGAGACCAAGAGAATACTGCAGAAAAATGCAACTTTTTCTTACAGGTTGCTAAATATCCAGTGCCTTTTGCACACCTATTTATCTTTTCTTATTTCCCCTTACCCCTTCCTCATGCTCTTCCCACAACAAGATTCTGTGGAATCACACATCACCATGTAGGAAATGCTTGTTTAGCAGAGTTTTTTTCCCTAATATGTATAATACAACAAACTGTCAGACAGACATGCTAAATATACATCCATGGACTCAGGGAACACTGCAGAAAGGCAGCAAATGCTGAAGTTAATGCTTGTGTTCCTGCACCACCTTGTACTATTGTGGTATATTCTTATTATGAAGGTCACATACTAGCTTTCTTTTCTGCTTCCCATTCCTGCTGCATGCTGTGTGGCTTGCTTTGATAATTGGAAATTGCTGCACAAACTGACTGCCACGTCCCAGGAGACAGAAGAAGGTCTATCACAGCAGCAAAGGATGAAAAAGAGGAATCCAGGTCCAGATAGTAAAGAAAAAGAAGGGAAAATAATAATTAAAATGTCTCTATTGCTGCATGCATAAACAGAATTTACAAAAGGGGACTGCTGGAGGAAGAGCTTCTCTGCAGAGTATGAGGCCATCTAGTGAGCTGAGGCATTGTAACAGCTCAGCTTTTTCCATGGCATTTTGTCCTGCTTGTCCCCAACAGAACACTTCACATGCCAGCTGTGAGCCAGGTATGCACACGGATACTTCAACAACATTCCTCACTGCAAGGTGAAAGGAGAAAAACCCCTGCAGAAGAGGAGAAAGTGACAACAGAAAGGATGTGGCAGATGTCAGGGAGCTTGGCATGTGGGTTTTTATAGGAAGCTGGAAATCCAGTTACACTGGCAGTGGAAGGACTATGTGGTGTGCAACTTTTCACTGAATACTGTCCTCAGCTGCATAGTTGGGGATGACAAGGGGAACTACTCAGCTGGAGGGCACTGCAGCAACTGGGGTACTGAGAAAACCTTGCCAGGAGCCCTGAGATATAGGGTGCTCACTATTATGGGATGTCTTCCCTGACAAAAAACTACTGAGAATCAAGGAAATGGGACAGTGATGTCCTAAAATAATTTCAAGTTCTCAGAGAACTGATGCTTGTATTTTATAGGATATTGGACTGGTAGTCCTGGAAGGAAAATTGCTGCAATGCAAAGCGTCATACCTACCAAGTCCTGTCCTGGTGCTTTGCCTCCAAGCAGACCAGACTGGTTGCCTGGGGATGAACACATGAACAGCTGCACTGCCCACGCACTCCTCTGCATCCCACATGAGGCTGCCAGGTTCTGAGAACAACAATAAATATCTGGGATTCTTGATAGCTTTTTGTGGCTGCTCAGAGAGCCCTTGAACATACCTGAACCCACGTCTGACTCCAAAACCCACAACCATTGCCACACTGTCCTGGTACAAATGTTGATTGCTCAACCCAGGGTGCAGTGCTGGAGAATGTGAGCACAAGACAGTATTTCAACATTTCTAGGTGCTAGCATGTGATTCCTGCCTCTTCAGCGGCGTTTTCCAACTTTCAGCATAGGCACAAGTGGTTATAGCAAGTTTGTCCTGTTGCATTAGAAGTACCTCAGAAAATTGGAAGGAAAAGACTGCAAGATCCTCACCTAGTAAACATCAGTTTAATCTCGTGAAATGTTCGGAGCCAGGTAAGCACATGGTCCACCAGTTCTGTCTTCAGCTGACTGAATATATTCACTTTCTCATGTCTTGAAAAATTGTTTAAATTGTTTGACCTGCTCTCCTTCCTCAGTGGAGAACTACACATGTTCACCAGTCTATCTCTGGAAGAGCTATACATCTGGAGCTTGGTAATTGTAATAATGACAAATTGTTCCACATTCTCTTGAATTGTCACTGAAGCCTTGATCTGCAAATTTTAGGACACCAAATTAGTTTTAACTATGAAATTATTAGTCCCAGCAAATAAGCATGCACAGCTGGAAGCCTTTGCTACTTCAATAAGTTTGTATGTATCTACATAGGCTATAGAGAGGAGAAATAAAATATAATTAGCTTTATAGCAGTGTCAGTAAATACAGTAGCACCACTGATAGTAACAGACCCCAAGCTTTGTAAGGACTTTATGCCTTGTCACGGTCCCTCTGTACATGCCCCCTTTGCCTTCTGCACACGTCTGTATGGTGTAGCTGTGATCTACAAACAGCAGTGCCAAGCATTTTGTTCTGCGGAGGAAATACGTGTGAAGCCACTGTAGTCATTCCATGCAGAGGAACAGGGGCTTGATGCCAAAGCTGAAGCCTGGAAAGAAAGATGCTGTGTACTGTGAGTGGGAGGATGTGGTGGGATGATGACACAGGAAATGAGCAGGTTCACAATGGTCAGATAAAGACCTAGAGCTGGATAAAACAGCTCTAGGAGCAGCAAGGACAACAAAGAATGAGACTCAAAAGAAGCATGGCCAGCAGGTCAAGGCAGGTGGTTGCTCCTCTGCACCTGAGTGCCACATCCAGCTCTGTGGGCTTCAACTTCAGAAGGATGTGTACCTGCTGGAGCAATCCCAGTGGAGTGCCATGGAAATCATCAGTGGGGTGGACCATCAGTCCTATGAGGAAGAGCTAAGACAGCTATGGCTGTTCAGCCTGGAAAAGAAAAGGCTGCTGGTAGACCTTGCCTTCTAGCTCCTAAGGGATGTTTGTCAGAAAGATGGGGACAGACTTTTTTCAAAGTTGGGCTCATATCCATAGGACAGGGGCCAAACTAGAAGAGGGTAGATTTAATATAGATACAAGGAAGAATTTTTTGTTATGGTGTGGATAGAGAGAAACTGGAATAGATTTCCAAGAGAATCTGTGGATGCCTCGTCATTCTAAGTGTTCAAAGTCAGGCTGGATGGAGCTCTGAGCAATCTGACCTAAGGTGAAGATGTCATTGCTTATTGCAGGGGAGTTTGGACTGGATGATTTCAAAGGTTCCTTTCAACCCAAACTATTCTGTGCTTCCATGATTCTATGTAACATATTCAATACATATATGGCAGAACTGACATGGGTTTACAGATCCACGAAGAAAGACCAAGGCATACAGGCTGTTAGAAAAAAAAATAACATCTGTTCCAAGTGGACCCCAAATTGAGGAGAAGTAAACCCGCAATGTCTATATCACATTCCCCCTGGAAAAGAGAAGAAACCCTCACAATCAGCATAATATTTACCTTGATGAAGAGTTTTAGATGCTTGACATGTATTTTAACTATGGCTGTGATGGATCCAGAGAGGTGGAAGAGTAACTCTAAGAACAGAGAAAAGGGCAAGTGCTAGGAGACATAACAGTTGTAGCTATTACTCTGCAGACTTTTTATGTAATACTGTTCCTTTTTCTCCTCCTATAATATTTTGACTGATATTAAAAACAAGTCAGTAATTAGACTGGTAAGATTTGGTTACCTTAACAACAAAGTATTGGCTTTGCACAAAAAGTCTGCTTATTTTTCATCCTGACAATTAATTGAGCACAACTTCATCACATTGTAGATGAAAGATGGATGCCTAGCTATTTCCCTAGCTATTTCCCAGCTCAGTGCTTTGTGCACTACACCGTCTGTCCTGTGGTCTTTTTGTTTGATTTGTTTTGCTTTTTGGGTTTTTGTTTTCATTTTCATTTTTTTTTATTTTCTTTGATCAGATGGACTTTGGGTAGTACATTTGGAAGAATATTTTCAAGGACTAATTTCTCCACAGCTAATTTAAGGAGAGAAATAATTTTCTAGGCCCCAGATTTTTTAAAAATTCCCAAATGCTGTAACAATACAACAGCATGTGTGAGTTTAATGTCACTGAATGTGGCAGCACCCATTATTTCAGCCTAGAGGAGAAAGACCAAACCAACCTGCACACTGGGTTGCTGTGTCTAGGTGTAAACCAGATGCAGGCAAGTGCCAGTGGGTAAGGGAGGAGGAAACTAGTGGGCATTGCATAAAAAAAATTGAAAGCTTTTCAGGAGAGAGTCAAAATACAGCTTTTTAGCTATAGTTCATTTTAAAAACACTTGTTTTATTTAATAGATTCTATTCTTTTAAAATAATGGTTTCCTGCACTTTCACTTCCAAAATTCCAAATTCACTTCCACACTTCCACAATGTTCTAGAAAAACAAGGTATTTTGAAACTGCAAAGTTAAGTGTTAAAATATAACATCTCAGAGCCTGAAAAATCCTTATTTTTCTATCCATTGAATTCAGCACATGATTTTGCTGTACCATTTTTCATATTATGGAAAACAATAGCTTGGCTTGAATTAAAGTTCTCATTTCCTGCTCCTTTCAGTGTCCTCAGTCTAGGGAGCATATTATACAAATGTGAAACTTTCAGGTGTGTCAACTCATATAAAAAGTCTATGTCACTCGTTAAAGTCACATCTTACTGATATTTCAAAAACATAAGGCAACATGTGGAAGCACCAAAAATTTCTTATGGAGGTTTTCCTCACGTAGAAATTCACTGTTATATCCTTGTTATTATGGTAGCATTGTTACATGAAAGCAACTTTCTAGTACTCCATGCTATATTAAAACATGTCTAGTATATAAAAGAATGTATCTTTTGTAACATTGCCACTCTTTGGGTTATTTCAGCGAAGGATGGATATATTTTGTTTCAAGATTAAAGACTGGAAACTATGATATAACAGTAGTAATATTTGCATGTAAATAAAATCCAGATTATTTTCTCCAAATTATTTTCTTCTTCTTTGACTTCTTTATTTTTTTCACTCAGAAGGTTTTATTGCTTAAAATCTTCCAGGCAATCTGTCAATTCCTTAAGCAGAAAAAAGTTTTCTGCTTCTTTAGGAGTCTGAATGCCCACAATTCCTGAATATAATTGTCTGGGATACTGTTATCATAATACATGACACTAACACCCAATAAATGGACACACACGGAGATAAAAACTTGGTGGCAGATTTTAGGAATACAGACCTCTCTGGTATTGTTACTATAATTTAAAGAAAATTATTTTTTTATTCCAGATAAAGATGTCTTCTTAATACTTCTCTTGCTATTATTTATTGTCAGATTAATAAATGCAAGCCACCTTGCTATCACACCGGAAAAAAGGATGCATAAAATGTGATATTTGGGGCTGTATATTTGCACTATTCAACAAATAACCTTTAATATGTATCCATCCAAAGCTTTTTCCTGCAGTCCATGCATACATCAGGTTTGCCTGTCAAAGAAGATATTTTCCTTTAAAATATGGCAAAAAGAGAAAGTCCATGGTTTCACTTTCCTTTGGTTACATCCCCTCAGCTTCCTCCCCTGAAGCACCTCTTTGTGGATACTTTGGAAATATGAAAATATAAATTACTTGATAAACTAATGTCATCTTCTGTAATCTTAGTGAGATGCCAGCTGCCTTTTTGTTTCACCAAACTGAAGAGAAGACACTAAGTCCTCACTTTGTGGTGCAGGTGGATGTGCATGACAAGGTCAGTAGAGCTTTCTTTACCATCCAGCTGCCAGATCATCCTTATGACTTCTGCAAGTTACAAAACCAAAACATTTCCACTGAGTGTGGCATCAGAACAACTTCACCTGGGATGACTTCCCACATGATGCCATGGAAAAGACATTGAAAATGGCAATTTTTGCATCTGTTGTACTTCCAGTTCTCACCTACTTCTCCTTGGTTTAAAAACAATTAGACTGATCATACATTGGTATCCTACGGCAAAAAGGAAGCTATAATAGCTCCCATCAAAGCTAATCACACAGTCTAAAATATGACAATGACCCTTCCAGCTATAAATTTTACAGTAGGGAAGAAGCTGTTCCAGATGTGGAGCTAGCCTATGAGCTGGCAATCAGGGCCTTCTGGGAGTTAACTCTCCCGTGGTCACAGTCATCTAGGAGACAGCCCTGGGCTGTGAGGGACAAGAGCACTGGATATGATGCACAGCAGGCAGAAAGCTCGTGTTAAGACAGAGACATTAAAAAGAAAGTTACAGCAGTGATGTGAAACCCTAGCTTGCTGCAGGGCTGATGCATTGTGGGGTCATGGTGATTCCCCAGCAGACAGAAGGAAATGTTTATGAATGAGAATTTTAAAGGGATACATCAAATATAACACATTTCTAGTGGTCTGCCAAAAAGAGCTCTGCTGAACACACTTCAGTGCAATGTTTGTTGGTATTCTGGTCCCTGATTTCCACCAGACTTTTATCTTGAGCATAATTACACTATTTTTAAAGGAGGATGTGATTCTGCATAGCATAAGGAAATACCGTAATACAGTCAGTTTTAGTTGTGGACTACTCATGTCATCTTGGCTCATTAAAAACGTTTTCAATTAAGGAATGCATTTCAAATATGTTTCAGCCTGGCAGAAATCTGTGCTGAAGTTGCCTCTTAACCTGGGGCCATGAGCAGCGCTCCACGCTGGTGCGGTTTCTGCCGGCTGCCAGGCAGTGGGGAGTGTCAGCAGGGCACTGCACTCTCCCTCAGGGAGGGAGCAGAAGTGTTTTTTGGTGAGCCTGGATGCTCAGCACATCACTGCAGCCTTTCCCACGCCACACTGACCAGTAGCTGACCTGTGTGTCCCACATTCAAAAATAGATACAATATACAGCCTGTTTCCAGTTCTGGCTAAAGAAGAGAGGGATGTAAAAGTAATTTTTTGTGGAAAAATTGAGCTTTCCCAGGGATAATTCCTAATGGCTATAAACAAATGTACACTCTCTGGGATGGGATCTTGACATTATTTCATGAAAACTCGGTCATTAAGCCTCCATATTTTAGTTAGCTATTTCTATTTTGGACAGTTCAGTGTCTTGTGTTAAAAAAAAAAAAAAAAGAAAAAAAAAAAAAAGAAAGCCAAACTAAAAAAATCATGCAAAAAAACCCAAATACTTTGACCTTATTATTACATTTTCATTGGGAAGCAGTCAGGCTGATGCTGGCCCCTTCCACGTGTCCTCAGAAGGGACTGTAGTAAGAAACCTGGTATTTCATACAAGAAATGCTCTAGGACATTGTTATTCTCAGCTTAAAAAGAGCAGGGATGGAGAATGATGCATTTAGATAGAAAACCATTATGCAGAAATAAACGATGACATGTAAGAGGGAGTCAGGCAGTGGTACTCATAGGAAAGGCGACCTGACAACACTTAGGACGGGAGCCTCTAGACAAGGCCCACACCACCCCAGCACAGTAAATGACCAATGCCATTCCTGGTTTGCCTGCTGGCTTGCAGAGTGTGGGACACAACCTTGAAAATCAGCACCTCCTCTTTTCCTGTCTGGGACACTACATTCTCACACTGCTTCACCTCATGGTTAACATGAAACACGGCAGGAGAGCTATTCTATTTTCCGCTTTTGAGACAGGACAGAACAGGAAGCAGAAGTCATTGCTGAAGACCAATCCAACGAAGATGACTTCTCTGGAGAAACAAAGTCTTGCCATGCTTGAGTGGCTGCTGAGTGATCCTCTGTGTTTCTGGAGACCACAGCACTGTCACAACTCCAAGCTGGGAAGGGAAAACATGTGTTTGGGAACTGGAAGGCAGCTTAGTGAGAGGATGCATAAGGGCAAAAAGGAACAGGAGCAGAGAAGGCATTTTCATGTCTCCATGCTGCAACTGCTGATTGATGGCATCATCACAGCTACACTATTGCTAAAAGGAGAGACAACAGACCAGCTAAGAAGCACTGTGGTCCCTGGCAACAGCGACAGCAGGGAGAGGGCAGGACTCCCCTCCTGGCCTCATGATTGATGTCTCCTGGGTCCCTTTCCACGAGGTGGCTGTGCTTTCTGTACCAATGAAGGGCCCCAGGGCACGATCACCTGGTGCTGCACGTGTAGAGGATGGGAACAGCAGGATGCTGCAGCAGGGCAGCACAAGCAGGGTGAAGGAAGGGAACCACAGGTTCCCTCTGACAAGATTAGTGATATCTTATAGGTTGGGAAGGTAGCTTAATCAGTTCCCTGTTGCCTTGGATGTTTAATATGCTGTATCAAAAGCAGAGATTGTAAGATGCTTTTGGCAATTCTTAGCAGAAATCTGGAAGATATGAAACAAAGAGATATAAAAAACCACCAAAGGGAAGTACAATACTCTTAAGACCCATTTGTATTGAGCAACTGCTGTGGCAGAAAATTTACATGTTTGATTCTCCTTGTAGATACAATGTGGTAAATAGCTGTTAAGCAATTATGAAGCATTTATATGCAGTATTGAGCAGTTGTTTTGTATGGTATGTTTTGTACTGCATTTATATGCAGTATTGAGCAGTTGTTTTGTTTCCCCCTTGGAATGACTTTTTATTTCTTTGATGATAGATTATTTTTCTGTCTTTGCTTAGAAGTATGTACCATTTTGACATTTGTGGGGGTTAAAGGAGAATTGAAAATTATGGCATATGGTTGATGATTTCCCTGAGAAGTATTACCCCTTTGGAGAACACTGACTTAATTAAATGTAAAATATTTACAGGAATTTATCTATTCCATGATAATCTGACAGGAAATTATCTCAATATTTTGTTTTCATGAAGCAGAAACATTTGCTATTTACATTACCATTTAACAGATAAAAACAGATAAAAGTGTTACAGTGTCAGTGTTGAGAATGTTTTAATCTTATCAAAATAAATATTTCCAGGAGGTCAGGCAAATAATATTAATTCCTCTCTTTCATAATATTTTTGATAAACATATTTTTTTCTCTGTCTTTGAGGAAGTGCTGAAATTTCAAAGTCTCAGAATTCTGACTATGATAGAAATTTCTAGTTATGAGCCATCCAAGTCATCACTTTATGCTACAGCTTCTTTTATAGCTTCAGCTTCTCATAATCCTGTTCTCTAGGTTGTGCAGAATCTAAAATTTATGCCTTCTGTTCCACTTCACAGATGTCTATTCTGACTTTAATGACAAAGCATGAAAATCCAGAGTCTATTTCAGACTAGTGAAACAATATTAAATTATTTGAAGAGCAAAACGAAAACTCTGAATTCAAACCAGAAGATATATTTATGCCTTCAAAAAAAAACTCTGAAACAAGTGACTCTAACACAGAAATATTCTGCCAGCTAGTGAGAAGAGGGGGAGTAGAAAGAAAACTCTATCACGATTTCAAGCAGTTGTACCGGGAGCTGGACGGCTGCTTTGCAATGGTAGTCCATCCAGTTCTGTGCCTGGCATTAGCTGTATCTAGATATTTCATGGAAACAGACCAAAAAATCAGAGTTGACTTGCATATAGGAAAGTTTCTTCCTTATCTAAGATGCAAGAAGCTGGCTTTGTTATACTGCAAGAGCCAACAGCCTGTCCCAAGCTAGTCTGTGAATCTCTGGGGACTCTACATGGTATTTTCCAAAATACACCACTGTAGGTGTTTAACAGTGCAACAAGATGACTGTTCATAATGTAAAAAATTTGGGGTTCCCCATACTCACATTTTTAATTTCTTGGTTTGGGTTTCACAATCTGTCATTTGCTCTAGTGAAAAGCAGTTTCTGATCTCACTTCTCTGTTTCATTTCCATATATACTTAGTACTTCCCTTCTCCAAAAGAATTGCAGAAACATAAAATAACGTAGCCCTCCCTCTTACATCAAGTATCTCAACAAACTGGTCAAACTTCATCCTAAAACTGTCCAGGAGCAGAGGTCCCCTGCAGCAATTGACAATCTACTCCAGTGCTTCAACATG